AGCCAACATTGATATAGGGTGGCAAGTAAGCATTTATTAGTTTTGTGTCTAAGGCAGTCTATACAATACAGTAGCATCAATGTGTCTGTCATTTGATGCATCCCGATAATGTTTAACATCTTCCGACAATTGAAAGTGTTGACCTTGGTATCTGTTCCCTAATCAATAACCAACTTTTTAAACTGCATTCTCCAAATGTATGTGCCCATGTGCCATAGATGACTTGATTTTTCCAAAAGATAATATCTATCACAGACACATGGTTTATTGCCAAATTTCTTTCGATGCCATATTAATTGATTTTGGTTTCTTCTTTTAATAGTTTGCACTTCACTAAATCTTGAACATCATATCTGTCGAATTTTTAACAAAGTTGCACTGTTTTATCTGGATTGTAATCGTTAATCTGTGTCTTTGATGTTGCTATTATTTATTATTGATATATTGATCATGTTAAATTCTAACCATTAGCAAAGATAAGGAAACAACCTCTGTCTTTGTTCTATTAACTTGATACGTTGTCCCCAATCCCACAAGTATATTTTGGTATTGCCAAATGGTAAAAATACCAATGAAATAGATCCAAATTATCGATATTTACGTTAAATTTCTTAGATATTTTAGACTTAAAAAAACATACGTATGACAGTTTTGGTCACTCAGTTACCATTCTCAAACTAACGTGTAGAAATCTGCATATCTATCTCCAGCTTGCCAACTGGTGGTATTGTGTCGGCAAACCTCTCCTGGTGTGATGTAAGCAGGAGTCCCTGGGTCTTGTTGTGGGTCGACAAAAATTGTTCAAACACATGGGACAATTGGTGTACTCCCTCGTCTCTGTTAATATTATTGTCTTTACTTCTGAACCATTTAGATCCGTATTCATCTACTGCCGACATCAGTTCCCCCTGTAACTTGTAGTATTTCCAATCTGGGATGTGGTTGTGTGACCATATGTCCAGTGATTGCTGATTTGTGCATGTCTCATTAAGAAGAACCCATGTTGGCTCTATTTCGTACCCCTTTATTTATATTTTTCAACCTCATTTCATGTTCACCTAAGTGGTCAAACCCTTTACTATTTGTCGCAATGACCACATAATAACTCTAAGGTGAGTGTTTGCTCACGGAATCTTGTTTTTCGGATGCACTAGTTCTCTCAACGTATTTTGATGTCTGAATCATGTATTAAATTTGTGTGTGCTCATTCGATCTGATCTTTTCCGATAGACCACTGACATACAGAATCATGACAAGCCCATTTTGGATTTCTCTTTGGTACTTCACATGTGTTATCTTTCTGTCTTCATGGTCCAAGAAATGTTCCACTTGGAATAATAACCATTAGACAGGTTAACTTTGGTTTTGCAATTAATAATTGACATTACTTCGCAAAAAACTAAGCAGTTTGTGTTAGAAATTTGTCGGCCATTTCGAAATTCAAAATGGCCACCATTCTTGATCCATGTGTGTATCACCATTCGGCAGCTTTACATTGAAACACGGGGTTTGGCTACCTAAATCATGTTGACCTGCTCTAATGGCACAGTTTTGTTTTTTATTACTGTGAAAATGGCAGCCATTTTGGAATTCAAGATGGCCGCCATTTATGATTCGTGAGAATATGACCATTGGACAGGTTCACACGTTGATACCTGCTCTAATAGCACAGTTATTGCTATTTTACTTTCCAACTGGCAGCCATTTTGAAATTCAAGATGGCTGCCATTTATGGTTTGTAAGAATATCGCCATTGGACAGGTTAACATTGAGAATATAGGGTTTGGTACCAAAATCATGTCGATACCTACTCTAATAGCGCAGTTATGGTTATTTACTGTATAAATGGCGGCCATTTTGAAATTCCAAAATGGCCGCCAAGACAATCTCGGAAAAAAATGGACCTTTGCATTTTTGGATTCAGCATACCCAAAATATCCGGAAAATGCAATAAAATTGCTTTGGGCAAGCCTATCTCGCAAACCTGTTTTTTGGACATTAGGTTTCTCACTAAAATGTAACGGTTGTAAATAAGAGAATACTTAATGAGTTTATATACAGACACACGCATATGCACGCATTTTACATATACAAATTAAGTTTGTTGCGTAACACCGTAAACACAATATAAACGATTGAGAATATAACCTTGGTAACCAACCCCCGTCCCGCCAAAAATTTTGATCCAGCCCGCGCAAAACGCTAAAAATAAATAATGTCTATGTTTATAGAAACACTACCTAGCACCCCTACTCCACCATTGTTTGCAAAAGTGTGCTTTTTTCTGAGTGTGTATAGTGGCGTATGGTTGACATGGGGAGGGGAAGACTAGGCCTACTCTGCCCCACCATGACAGGAAGCAATGATGTTTGCATTGCTCTGAGTAATTAAGGAATTTGGAGCATGCTGATTTTGTCCCTTGCTTCCTTTTCTGGTGGTTTTTACTGTATTTTTAGTCTCTTACTTCCTTTTTGTGTTGCTAATTACTTGTTAATGAGTGGGATTTGAACATACTCAAATATATCAATATGTTTCAAATTATTAGTTCTTTGCGTGACTAAAAAGACTCGTTTTTGAAAAAATTGTCACCTTTTGTCATGGTGGGCCAGTGTAACTGGGGATTGCGATGTCTAATTATTTGAGTATTTGTGGCACCAGCAGGCTCGGGGCATGTTATTCTGTTGAAAACACTGCTTTGTTTTTTTGGTCGGACAGTGCATTTATAGGAATCTAGAGGTATCTATGTTAACAATTTGCTTACCTCAGCCCCAACCATGGCGAGTGGATATTTTAGTGGTGGCAGGGCAGGAGAATTATATTCAAATTTAAGTCTGAGTGCCTGCCATTTCCGACCTAGCGGTGCCATAATCATAATTTTTACATAAGCTTCAACCATGGCTGGGCTGAGGTGGTATTTTCCCACTGTCTGTGAAAGTTCTTCCTGGCCCTTTCTATTCTAATCCAAAGAAAATGGGTAGAAGGCTGACAGAGAAATAAATCGAAGTACACATTTATGTAAGCCCGCCGCTGGTCTTAACAGGTTGAATCCCGGGAAATATAATAATAACCGTGGTCGAATAGGAACATGATTGTAATATTCAATAGTGGTACGTACCACTTAACGTGAGTTCGGCTGATGTAACAGCGTGTTCACTAAGTAGGCCTATAAAATGGAATAAAATGTATTATAATGTAATCATTAATCACTAAAATATGTCAATACGTGACGAATAAGCAATGTCTACGCCAATCACAACACTTTAGCATGTACTGTACAATCCAGTTTTGACTACTGTATATTCTTTTATCAGTATCTCAATTGCTCAAAGTCCTTTATTTACAAGGTAATAACATTTTTGTTGATGCTTCTTTGTTTGAGAAAGTTTGAAGTGGCGGATTCAAGAGTTTGGAAGTCAATACGTGACGAATAAGCAATGTCTACGCCTATCACAACATTTTAGCATGTACTGTACAATTCAGTTTGACCATGGAGGAATAAATAAATTCCTCCATGGTTTGACTATATTCTTTATCAGTAGGCCCTATCTCACCTGCTTTTGTCAAAATAACAATTGCTCAAAGTCCTTTATTTACAAGGTAATAATATTTTTTTGTTGTTTTTTTGTTTGAGAAAGAAGTGGCGGATTCAAGGTAAGGAAGCCTGTCCGTTCTCCCTAATTCTTTTTCCAAAAGAAATTTATTTGAATTTTAAATCTGTGAGTGCCATTTCCCGGTCATCATAGGTGCCATAATAATAAATATTCTTACATATGCCCTCCATTTGTAAAAGTCTCTCCCTGGTTTCCAATATTCAAAATTCCTGGATCAAAAAAACGATTGGTTGATTGTTTCAATGCTTGGTGGATATAATACTCTTTTTCTTTTTTTTATTTTTGCTTTGGTGGATGTATGCATAGCACTCTTCATATTTCTAAACATTTGTTGGTATGATCAATTCACATGTTATATATCCATAGAATGCTCCTAAGCGAAATAATCCCCAGTACCACTCACAGCCTCGCGAAAGGCCGCCGACGGCGGTTTTTTCGCGAGTACACTTAAATTAAATTCTTGTTACTTAATATGTTATGTAAACGTAATATTAAAGGTAGGATAATAACCCATAGGTTTGGTCTATAAAGAAGCGTAGCTATGAAGGTGAACAAACTTTGTATGACTGATGAAAAAATTACTGTGTTTTTGTTACGATTATGCCTGTAGCTTCACGTTTGGTTTGGGAGTTGTTGTATGGATGCCCTAGCAGGTAACAATATTTGGTTAGGCGTAAACGAAGAAAAGTAAACATAAGAATCAAGGTCAATATGATTGAAAAAAATACTTCGTGGAAAAAAATTCTCAGTTACACTTTCACGAAGAAAGGAAGACGTGACAAGTTCCATTACCAGTCTCCGACATTACAGTCGACACCCGACTGCTTACTGGAGGTCGTAGGTTCGATTCCAACACTTTTGGTATGTTTGGGAACGTACTGAATATTCGGTACGATACCGTAACACGTCAGGTAGGGCAAAATTTCACTCCTATAATATACAAGTGATGACCACATTTGGGACTTTGGGAGTTTTCTTTGGTTCAGTCTCCCATCAGAGCTTCAGATTTGAAAATTAGTACTGTACTTTGAATGAATAATGGTAAAAAGTAAAAAGGTCTCGGAATTAGTGGGATCTCGAATTGGAAGATAAACTGTAGATTTCAAAGTTCACTCAACTTCCCTTCATGTGAATGTCGGGTTACAAAAATAATATGTTGAAACAGGATTAGGCCTACAATGGATTTTTCTGCTAAGCTCCACCCCTTGGATATTGTTGCTAAGGTCCCACAAAACGACAGTTAAACACGCACTGTGAGACAACACGTGCTTGTCAGACAAGCACATATTCCTGGCTTGTTCTGATTGGTCATTTGTTATGTTTGGTTGACGGTCGGGAAAGGTCGATTATGGTACCATGGTACTACTAAGGGCACAAGTGAAAACATGATCACTGACCAGACTACGATTTATTGACCACATAATAGCAGGAGACAAATTACATTACATATTCATATAGTTTATCAGTATCTTACACCAACATAATCTCAAGTACGAATTTTCTGCATTCTGCATGTTAAGTTAATAGTAACAATTCATGATTTGTCAACTTTTAACATCCAAGAATAATAAATTGTGAGGAATAGTAAAAAGTCTACTACAGGGTAAGCCTGAGCTGAAGGAACAAAAGCGGAATCAACGCCTAAACTCAGCAATTACATTTTAGTTGTGACTTGGGACACCACCAAATCAATGGATGACGACACAACAGCACACACAAATACAAATCAAAAAAATATGTAAAGGAACAAAATCTGGACGCTATACTTTCAATGGAAATGGTGCGGTATTGTGGTTAATTATTTAATATAGGAATAAGCTGCTGACAACCTGGTTTTTACTTGATTTACTATATTTGATACTGACACTGTGATTAGCTACCTTGTCAGTTGAAATCAATACAATATATAGCCAGGTTTCATGTAAGAAACTTCTCTTATGTTTAAGCAATAGTTAGATTAAAAAATAATTTCAGTATTACATTATAAAATAATCACAAAATTAGTATTATATTACATCTTATAATTCTTTAAAACACAAGCTTAATTAAATGATAGCATTGGCAATCTCGTTAGAATACTACTAAGTGATTGATATACATTCAACAAAGGATGTAATTTAGAGAAAAATAAAATACAATTACATACGGTATTCCATGTATTCAACCTAATAGCTCATGCAAAAATGTAACAAATTGATGGCAAATTTCACTGTGATTATTATTTCAAATTAATAATAAATTAGGGCTTAATGTGAAATGTCTATAATGATGCGAGAACAAATAGACGCTATATTTCGAATTAGTATTAAAATTATCATTCATATTACTATTAACAACAATAAACAAAAATCAATAATAATAATAATAATAATAATAATAATAATAATATTAATAAAATTATTAGATAAATTGCTAAGCCAAGCAATAATTGCCAGTTATGTACTAAAATGCCTCCAATAATTCATTGAATGAGATCATTGTTGTTTTTAATTGCACGGGTAAACATTCACTGCTAAACAACAATTAATTAATTAACCTTCGTCAGTTGAAATGGTAAGCTTATGTCAAATATAAAATAAAAAATAATTGCAAGCTTCATTTGTTAAAACATTTGATTTGAACCATTAGTATATATTGTTTTAATAATTTTTTTCACAATGGCTTTTACATTAACATATACAGCATAAAAAAATTATATTAATAACACTATTGGCAGCGACAACAATAATGATTATTTTCATATTACAGTATGTAATATTCATTTTAATTACAAATAGTAATTAAAAAAAACCTAATTACTATAATTTAGTTAAATTCTTTGGAACTATGACATAGCAATTGTTTTTATAAATTTAAAATATTCTATCTAAATAGTCAACTACATATTGGAATAATTTAAACACGTTCCACTTTACAATATTAAAACTTTCTTAACATTACTCATCATTAGATTGGGTTCACAAGTGCCATCAGTTGCAATAAAAAAAAAATTGAATACAGTAATCTTAAAAAAAAAAAAAAAAAACAATTAAGAAATCAAAATGAAAAATTTATACGGTAAAAAAAAAATAGAAACAAAAAGCCACAATACACAGGAAGACGATTTAAGCAGTGCCGATAAGAAATAAGAATATTTCAAACAAAAAACTAACAATCACAAAAATTTGAAACTAGTAACAGTGCATTTACTGTGAATGTAATGTAATCAACTAATTATAGATACAATGTATGTCCGTTTTTTTAATTAATTTTGATCACCCAAAAAGACAAAATTAAATATCATGTCATAAAACAAGCAAATAGAGGTGAATACAATCATTATAAAAACACAACCCTAATAGTTCATTTAGCCTATTCCATACATACACCAGTTCAACAATTTGAAATAATCCGATCAGAAATGGTGAAACTGCCAAATATATTAGTTTGTTTAAAGTCCCCTTTTTTTTACATCTACAGAAATAAAATCATAATAAGGCAGCTCTTTACTGGCAATGACTAAAACAGCCCATTGAATGAATGATATGATTCATGTTTTCCTTAATGATCCAAAAAAAAAAAGATATGTTTTCAATTTGCACATTCAAAATTTTGAAGCCCCCTGACAAATATATTTCTAATCAAATACAGTCTTCTAGGGTTTCTGTCATTTATAAACCTTTCTTCATATTTTTTTTTTCAATATCTATTAAAAAAACAACATTGCAAGCAAAATTTTAATAGTATCAAAATTAAAATTAATTAAAGTATATTATAACATCATTATTAAGACATGTTTACCTTACTTAATAATAATTTTTAATTGATTGCATCAGCATATATAAATAAATATTAATCACACATTTCAATACGAAATCACATGTGGGGACATTAATGTTATATATTTATTTTTATATATAATTATATATTTGTAATTCTCAATTACTTTGGTAATGACTAGATTCTTTTTATTTTTTTGTGTATGAAAATTTCATCCAAAATCATCATATAAATTTAAACGGGTACAAATCATATATACCTGTACCTCAGTGGTGAATTTCCTCAACTACGTCTTCAATACTAGAAAGATGCTACAGTACTTGAGATAATGTTCTTTCACAAGCAAGTTTAAATTCTACAAAATTTCTGATACAAACCATACATACCTGATATCAATACTAAGTCACAAATACACTATTCCTTACTTACTGAATCCCGTTGTTTTCAAATTAGCTAATAATTTCAACGGCATATATTTCACACATAATTAAGATATCTTTAGGTTACCAAATGTTGATCCAACAGATAAGAAATGTACAACACACTTTTGATCCATGCATTATTAAACAAGAAAAAAAAAATCATCTCTTCCGTTTTGAAGAACTTAGACAATTACAAAATTGACTATTTGAAAAGTAAGCCCCCAAAAATATTGATATATCAAATTCAAACATTCAGTTTGAAGTAACTACATCTAGTAGGATCTGTTGGCTTTAGAGCCGCTTTTTTGTAATTAATCTTCCTGAATACCATTTGCAAATTCTTCGCCTTCCTTGTGCACAACCACTTTTGTAACAGTGAAATCTGGGTTGCGTTCCTGCTCTTCTGCAAGCGTTTCAGCAAGGACCTGAAAGACAATATTATAATTTTTTCATTGTTTTATAAGCAACTAACTTTTTGGGCAACTTGTTTAAATGATTTGAGAACATAATAAAGTACATATTGTATATAACTTTTGTTACAAAAAGTTATGAACTATATAAACTACAATGGATGACAACAGCAGAAAAAAACATTTTTCCAGTCTGCCCCATTACCATTGCCTGAGGCTGTACCAAACCTGAGAAATGACATCATCTACACTATTATGTCGGGTTTTTACTGGGCGCAGGCATTTGATTTAGTCTGAATACAGGAGGCCCTCTAGAGAAATACTCCTACATCACTCTCAAACAATTCTATAGAGGGCAGCATAGCTATAAAAAAATTATCATAAAAGCTATACAGGGTGTACATACGACGCCCCTCGCTATAAAGTATGGTCAAAGAGGGCATCGTCGCGATGCCATACGACTGGAAAAAGTCAAGTTCCCCCACCGGAGAGGTCAATCTTCCTATCGGACAGATATATTGTATGTAACTTTTGTTACAAAAAAAATTACGAACTATATAAACTACAAGGGATGACAACAGCAGAAAAAAACATTTTCCCCCTCCCAAATATTTCAAGGCACAAGAAACTTTAATTCAATCTGATATTGAATGAAGTAGTCTACAGAGCTCTATCCACACTCAGTTGCGGCACCAGCAGGGGGAAAGGGGCAGTGGCGGCGCCAGCGGGCGGGCGGGGGGCTTAAGCCCCCCACCAGACAGGTCAAGCCCCCGCCAGACAGAGCTCGTCGGGCAGTCAGACCATAAAACATATAAAGATAGGCCCACACCAAGCCAACACTTGTCTGTCACAGTCTGAGAGTGCCATTTCCAGCCAACCAGAGGTTGCTATTCTTGAAAATATCTCTTTTGGGAGGGGGAAACACTCTCTCAACCACTTCCTCCAGCTTGGGCCTACGAGCTCAAGTCCCTCTGTCGGACAGCTTAGACCCCCCCCCCACCAGAAAATATCCTAGAGCTGCCACTGTCCGCACTATTAACTTTTTCTTGGACAAAAAACGTGACATACCTAAATATAGTCCTGATGACATCACATATAGGCACATCATAACTATATATGGGTATTAGGTATTTTGAACCAAATATCAACAAGGCCCATAAGTGTAAAACCAACATTATAGTAGAATGCTAAGCATTCAGTGAATTGGGAGAACAATTTTTCAGCACTAAAAATTGTGCAATCACCACTTTTCCATAATATATTTTTCTGTGTGGGAATATTTTTTTCATAATTATAAAAATTGCCAAGTACCGTAAGATGTGTTACTTATTTTGCCTGCATATAATTGGTTTTTTTCCCCAAACTTACCCTATCATGATCAATATCACCATCTCCTTGGATGATAATTTTCTTCTCTACTCTGGTCTCAGTAACACCACCTTTTACCGTCTGAAAATCAATTTTAGTTAAAAAAAATTAAAATATCTAAAAAATAATAATGTGACTATCATTTAACTGCTCTAGTAACTTTAAAGTCATGTTGGCAAAAACCCTTGGATTTTGCTGGACATTATATCTTCCAAAAGAAGTGCATTATGCACAATTAATTTGTTGTGGAATTATATTTTTAACACTTGATACTCTATAATCAATACACTTGATACTCTATAATCAAGGGATATATTGGAGGATTTATAATTAGGGGGGCTGGTATGGTTACACATATTTAATGGGGATTGATGATTATGTGAGAGGCATTTAGCTGGCAAAATTTATGTGATTTTTTAACTACTTAAGCCTTTTTTTGCTCAGCAAATTTTCAGTGGAGGGGTACCAATAATGGGGGGGAGGGGGAGGAAGTGGGTTTAGAGACAGGAGCTTTTGCTGGAGACCAAGCTCCCATATAGATGTATCATCTCTGATGGAAAAATACCATCTTTTACTTGATGAAATGCTATGTAGACGACTTAATGATAAAGCTGGCATGGTACAAGCAAATGCAACTTACACACATCTGAAATCTTACTGAAGAAACTGTACAATGTCAATTGGATTGTATGCATTGATATGAAAATGAGAGAAACTCTTTGACTGACTGAGAATATATCCTGAACTTTTTGCCAGGAAATACCTGTGTGATTGAAAGATTTCTTGGGAACGAAGACAGAAGAGAAGTCTTTAAATATATATAAGCAAACAACATCTGGACTTCACCTTTGTTATGTGTGTTGTGGTGGTGGTCATGTGAGATTCGCTGGTGAGTGTCTGTGCACTAATTAACATCCCGGGGTCCTGGCCATCGACCTCAGTACCATCCTTTTCATATGTGATGGTAGTGTTCTCTGTGTGCACATACGGTACCTCTGTGGTCTTCTGCCGGTCATCATCCTCACCGGTCTGGTATTTGAGCATCGCTGTCTTTACTTCAGGGACACCATCGTATGCCGGAGCAGGAGAGACCATCATGTCATCGTCGTCATCCTGCAATTTGGTTCAAAACTACATAATCCACTTACTACTTACTTACTTATTACTGTACTTCATAGAAATAAAGAATACTTTGACCCAGTTGTTAAAAGCAATTATAAACAGTTTAATTGTGAATTATAGACATTTATACTGGATAGACAATACTAAAATTGTCACACAAATGTACAACCACAGCAATAAAAGACCTTTAAAAAAGACCTCAGATATTTAGAAATGACAATTACAACTTTGGTTAAGTTTGTCTTTGGTAAATCCAATTGAAGAGAAACAAACCTTGTACAGCATAAGATTTGACTTTATTTCAAAATAGGAAATAATATAAAATTATTAATATTTACATTCTAGCTTGATTTTATGGCAAAAAATATGATGGCGAACAACTGGCATACTCGTGCAGTTATAAAGATTAAAGCCCGCTAAATAAATAAATAAATAAATAAATAAAACAAAATGAAAAAAAAATAAATATATAAAACAAATAAATAAATAAATAAACTTCACTATTATTGCAAAAGGTCTACGAGTACAAGTCGTTATCATGATTACAGCGGACTATGTGTTAACAGTATCAATCTGCATGTAGCAATCTCATGCACATTAGCCTATCACTAAAAATGTCACAAATAATTTGACCATAGCAAATGTATAATTAATTTTTTTTTTATGAATTCATTGGCAGCTGTCTATGAGGTACAGAATAGGCCCAGTATTGTGGTTTAGATGACAGCAAATAAGACCCATGAAATTCTCCTAAAAACTTGGGTGGTGGAGCTAATCCATCAGGACATATGGTGATCTCTAGGCTTTCTAGTAAGGATTGAGGAGTGGTGCTCATCTTTTGGGATCTCTTCAGGTCTCCTATAAGGAATGGACAGTTGCAAGTTTTAATACATTTGCAGCCCTCAAAATTAACGTCGTCATTCGGCAGTGCCGGCGTAAATGCCGGCGTCTAGGCACCCATCGCCGGCGAGAAAATTGCCGACGTGCAGAAAAAGCAGGATTGCACACACAGAGGGACTAGGCCTAGAAAACTATCCTACATGCATTTCTTTGTTAAATTAATTAAAAATATAATTTGAAATGTCAAACATTTTTGTTAATGTGTGGTTGGTACAGTACAGTAATAAAAATCATTTTGAAACTCTGTGTTGTGTTTGATTATCCTAACTTACGATCAATCAAAACATGGCATTCCAAAGCGACAGCAAACGACTACAGGGCGGTCAGTGAGTGAGTGTGTGATTTATAGGTGGTTGGGCTGCGATTTTTTTTTCCGTACGAAACATTTACATGAAACTCCACTCGGGCCGTCTCGACTCAATCGACCCGAAAATCTCATATTGCAGGACTAGGCCTAGAAAACTATCCTACATGCATTTCTTTGTTAAATTAATTAAAAATATAATTTGAAATGTCAAACATTTTTGTTAATGTGTGGTTGGTACAGTACAGTAATAAAAATCATTTTGAAACTCTGTGTTGTGTTTGATTATCCTAACTTACGATCAATCAAAACATGGCATTCCAAAGTGACAGCAAACGACTACAGGGCGGTCAGTGAGTGAGTGTGTGATTTATAGGTGGTTGGGCTCGCATGCTATCAAGCATGGAGGGATTCGCGACGAATTTTAGTTGGAATAAACCATTGTTTTTGGGGGGTGAAACTGTGGGCTTTTCGTAAACACGTCCAGGCATGTATCATGGGCGGGGGATTAAGGGAGTTACGACGAACCGCCCAAAAACTAGAGAAGGTCCGCATTCAAAAACGAATGTTCTTCATGTAAACATATTTCAACATCCATGGTTAGTGCTTATTTTTTATCACTGCGGCTAGCCTAGAACTTCACAGCACTCTGGGGATCTGATGGTCCACGTAGGCGTGCGTAGGCTAGTACTTAGTACTAGCCTAGGCTTAGGCCTAGTACTTGACAACTTTTTGAAAATGCCGACGTAGGACCGGCGTCAATTTTTTAACGTCGGTGATTTTTTGCCGGCGTGCCTTATCCCTAATTTTGAGGGCTGCATTTGGTTATCATAGGTTAGATACACTATCTTTGTTTTTGTTTTGTATTTTTGAGGTTATGTACAGTATCTACATACATGAAAGAAAAGTGAATTGAATCAGGAGAAAAACAACAGTTTAGGAATAAACCAACAATCCTGGAATTAAATTAACCACCAAGTACACCTTTGAATCAATCATTTTGTAAATAATAGATTTTCAAAATTACAATTATATACCAGCTGACCATTATCCAATATGTGTAAGTATGGGAAATATTATTTATACAGTAAATAGAAGCAACTGAAATAATATACACAGGTCATACGCGAATATCAGGTATTGTTAGCAACTATATGAACTATTCTTAGGTACTAAGTATATTACTAGTTTAAAGGCAATTATTTTTCGAATAGCACAAAATATTGTATGAAGCAGGTGATGGTGTCATGGCAGCTAAAAGCAGCTTTATGTTTCAAAATGGGGTGTGATAATGCAAAGCAAATATTAATGGAGAAAAAAAGTGAATCTCTTGATGAAAATAAGGCAATAATTATTATTTGTGTGCAAGTGCTGCTGTGCATTTTACCTGAATGCATGAGAACATCTCATTTAATGTCAGCTTGCATTTACACTGGTAGGCTCAGTGTTTGAATCTCACAACGATTATAGTGAGATATACAATCACTATTTTTGTTATTCACTCCTTATTGTGTGAAAACAAACATTATAAATCATAATGGCCACATGAGTGAAGGTCTGTCTACAATATCAAATTTTCTTTGACAAGAAGCTGCTGTATGCCCATATATAGTCATAATGTGCCTATAAATGGTCATGATGTGATGTCGTCATGACCATATTTAGGCATGTCACATGTTTCTGACAAATAAAATATGATAGTCTGGACAGGGCAATGTGCAATTGTAACATAAGCTAGCATTCACATTGACCGGTTAATGTGTGAATTGGTGATGCACTACGTGATGTAGTTTTACTATTCAAGACCATGCTAAGATTAGCGATGAGGAAATTTTGTTAGTACAGCATCATCACCTTAGCAACTGCCCCACCGGCCGATGATGGAGCAGCAGGTGTGCTCTCCTCTGGTGGCGGTGCAGGAGGTTCTGAAGGGGGCCCGGCCTCATCAGCTGCAGCTATGTCACACTTGACTTGCTCGGACACTTCCACTTGCTGTGGTGTACAGTCCAAGTATAAAACAGTGATACAATTAAAACAAACAAGGAAGAACAGGACAACATATTTGTAATCAAAATAAAAAGACAAGTAAATAAAAATTTTAAAAAAATACAAGTAGTTGTAATAGTATACTATTATATTTTTTGTGAAAGTTTTAAGCGTAAATATTTTGTAAATAGTTTGAAGTATATATTTGTAATGTAATAAAATTCAGACATGGGATGCCAATTTGAACTGATAGAATAGTACTCTCTATAATATGCTAAAATATATATATATATAAAAAAAATGATACTTGAATTTTTTACTTTGCATTCATAAATTTCACATTAAAATTATGATGAGAAACAGTTTTTGTTGCCACTTAATGAACATGTCTTTAATACTCTTAAACTGAGTAGTGATCAATTTAGGAATTCTTGTAGTAAAATGTCTTCATTACATCTTAAATGTCACAATTATATTAAAGTTTTAGTTATCAACAAATGTCAATCAATATAAATGTGGGTGGAGCTGTAGCTTAATAAATAAAGGTCCTGAGTTTGATTCTTGGTGTTTTCTCTCATGACTAGAAATAGCTTCATTTCTCATACTGAAACCTGACATATAAAGTATAAAGAGATGTTTCATTTCCATTAGGTATTCTAGTGGAGAGTCACATGTTGTAGAATGAACAAAATTAATAAAAATAATATAATAAAATAAATTATTAAAATATAAGAAAAGTGAATGTATCAGATAATAAATAGGTATGTTTTTATCAGGCACTGAATAATCTTTTAAAAAAAATGGTAGTGAAGAATACTATTATATACATCATATTATAAAATTAGTTAAATGTGATGAGGTTTAAAAATGACCTAAATATTGTTTGAGTGTACTTGCCAGAAATTTGGAGGAATACAAAGATACTAAAATAAAAAAACCAACATAATAACATATGTTCTTGACATTGTCCAATGGCCAAAGAAAAGAAAAAATATACAAGTAATTTACAAGAGACATACATCACATACATTACACAAACATTTCTTGAAGACATTACTTACATCTGGGTATGACTGCTGGTACTCATAACGTGTAGTGACAGTCTTGGTCGTCACTTCATACTTTGTGTCCGACTGTTTGCTATCTTCCAATTGAGGGTCAAACTCTCCAACGCCTTCTGCTATGTCGTCGGCCGAGTGCTATGAACAGACAATAGTAGATTGGTTTATTTGATGTCAATTCAAAATGATTGACAGTTTATTAATAATTTACTCACTCAAATACTAGTTAAATTAACAGGGCCAATTTTGGTAAGAGAAAGAAAAAAGGTACTTTAGAATATTTTAATATACAATTTTCTTTTTTCAATTGAATTTGCTCTAGCTATGTTATATTCAATCATGCTCGAAATCTGTTTTGATGCTTTTCTCGTTCAAACTAGATTAACTATTTCAAGGCAACTGAAGTCTAAGTCAAAAATACATACAAGGGAAAGGAAAAGATAAGGATTTGCGATGTGTATTGATCTTGATATTCTGAATAAATTCTCTCCTTAACTATCTACCAGATGACATTTTAATGACATCAATTACTGAAAATTGCAGTTTAAAAAATTTTTTAATGACAATTTTGATGTGCATTTTTGAGAGTTCACTGTGTGTTCAATCAAGCAAATACTCATGCAACCCAAAAACATTAAAGATGTTTCTCAGTTGTACTCATAAAACTGGAAACTCATTATGAATTAAATATTTAATAATTAAGGCACTGTTTACCCACATTTTAGAAACTGATTAAATATGGGTTTAAATATTAAAATAAAAACCTTTTGTACATTCTGCAAAATGCCAAGATTGCACAATCTGCTCCTTACTGCTCACGATGAGACTTGGTTTAATAGAGCATTACTTAGTACAATCCTGTTATTAGGCAAATATGTAATGTTGTTGCTTGTGAAATATTTTAATAGATTCATGAAAAACATATTATGAGGTGTTCCATTTGGCAAAATGTTTGTACCTAAAGAATTTAAACCATGAATCACCACACTTAACACTAACACCATTAACTCGGTTAAGTATGGAGGAACACATGAATAACAAAATATATGATGCTATTTAACCATCAAAGAATTCATGCTCTGCGAGATATAACATTTGCAATTCCTCATTTGTTCAAAGCTCTCTCACATATGCTTTATCAAGTGCTTTAGAACATGGGAAAAAATAGCAGTGGCTAATGGATTTTACGCTTCCTGATTGGCCATGCAATTGACACAAGCAGACAAAATAGAACAGCAGTCAATAAAACACACAAAATCTACTTAACAAAAGCATCTCACTTGGAAACTAACACTGGTACAAGACAAGGGGAATATGGTACCATACAATATAAAAACTACACAAATATTTCACAATATTGATTAAATATCAAAACATAATGCATTTGGGTGATGGGAGATGAAAAACAAAAATCATGCACTTGCGTCTTGTAACTTAATGAGGTATCAATAAATATTTATATCTAAATCAGATATTTAAATCATAGATATTGAGTCATGATATTGGCGGCGATGATGATAATATAGTAGTAGCAGTCTTGCGAGATGATGTCATCATTGTTACCCACATTATCGTTGTCATCTGGTCATCACTGGGTTGTTGATGGTTGTGTAGTGGTGGTGTTGGTGGTGCTACTGGTAGCAATGTTATTAAAGTATTTAGTGGTAGAAAAAGTTTCAGATGACAGTGTAGTTGTCAGTTGTTCTCATGACCAAATACTTTCATCTCCTGGAAACATGTTGGAACATAGTGTATCTAAATATAATGACATGGTAGCCTGCCCTCAACAAGGAACAACAAAAATGTACTTATTGTTCGCATGGGAAATGTTATACTGTCAAATTATGGCCTTATGATCCAAATTAGATGTACAATAAAGGGGTTGAATTTCCATCAAGCAACTGCTGTAGACAGGACTTTTTACTGTAGTGTGCCCGAGGCAGCAACATTTTGCTATCAGTCATTTGCCTGAAACTTTATTTTTAGCATCTAATTACTTATAGTATTTTGCTGTTGTTGAAAAATAAATTGCTGCTGTAAACCAAGGAATACAGCAACATTCTGCTGATGAAATATTTTAAGAGTTAACCCCTGCAATACAGAGAAATATCTCATTAACATAAATACAATGTGCAAAATATGGTTAACTAATAAGGGCGGTTACACCCCTTTTCCCCTCCAGCTTTTAAATATTCAAAACCTGTATCTCATTAGCTGTCCCAAGTTTTTTGCCACACTCCCTTTTTGTGTCTCAGAAAAATCAGTACAACATACCAAACACTATTTACCTCAGGATCCTGGCTTTAAAATCTAGATCCAAAACATGTACCAATTCATTTTTGTACAATATTTTATATTATTGTAGTTATTATATTTTTAACTTCATGCAAAGCTACGGTATTATGTGCATGAATTGTACACTGTTGTTGGGTGTTTGTAGCCGGCAAAGTAACAATATATATTCCATGCACAACTGGCTGTGAACTGTTTCCACAAAACCCACTTATGCATACACCTAAACAAAAGCTGCTTTTTCTCTGTTGTGTTAAAATATCAATTTCTCCATAAATAATTACTCACTCAATTATTCATCATTCTAATGCAAATGAAATATACAATAGGATGTATAATAAATACTTTGATTTTTTTAAATTCTTAATTTGGGTTTCATGGAAGCAAGCCTTCATTTGTAAAAAAAAAAAAAAGAAAAGAAAAGAAAAGAAAAAAACATATTTTTCACAAAATCTACATAAAAACAAACTTATTTACAAATTTACAAACTTAAATAACAATAACAACTATGGTCATGCGTTAAGACGTTAGCCTACATTTGCTCCCCAATTTTTGTACGTTGTGATGTACATATTTGGATTATATATTCAGTTGTAACCCACCACACTAACATAGCACACTTATATAATTTTGGAAAGGTTTTACACAACTTAAAAGATTCTAAATATTCAGTTTTACACAACTTAAAAGATTCTAAATATTCAATTTAAATTAGTGGCGATTAAAATAGTATAAGATGCTATTACTGAATATGTGACCAAAAAGGTTGAGTGTCATTGGTACATTTGTGATAATGCATTTTTGCAAACTCTACCCACACATTAAACCTTCAATTTGTGATTAGTTTGGGTTACAAACTTCCAACTGATACATTTTCTTGGCTGTAGGAACATTATTAGAAAATTAAAAATTAAATGTAAAACCTTGTCCACACTATCAAAATAACTTTATGTGACAAATAAATGTGTACATATTTGGGTATAATATATCATGTTCATACTGTATATGGGCACATCACACAAAATTGTCACATAAAATGTGACAGTAATATGGACAGAGATTATGTTTATGTAAAAAAATGGCAGATTCTAATGACAGACTACTACTGTTGCCTCATCCTCATAAAACTAATAAAAACCTATGTCAATGAATAATACAGTGGTGCATATACAGTACTGTAGGTGAAACTGTTGAGAGAGCAAAATAATTTGTTATTATTGTGAAGTGTAACACTGCCAACATTTTTTTGATGTGCAAATTTCATACGCATGACCATGATACAACAACCAAGTAAACTGAGAGGACATATCACATCTATTTGAAAATAATCTATAGTCTAGTATATACATTTCAATCACCATGCTTATAAATAATGTAAAAATGATAAAGGAAGTTATCAAATTATTTCAAATACTACAGCATTCCAAAATAATAGTATAGATTTGAGGAATTTAAAATGATTACAGAATATTCAGCAAGAAAAAAAAAATTGAAGGTGACAGTTCCTCAAATCGGGAGAAGCTTACAGGCACAGCAATTTAAACCATGGAATATTGAGTTCGTAAACAAGCATAAAATATTTGAAAATTCTACAAAAAAAGAAAAAAAAAGAAAAAAAAATAAATCAGAAAAAAAAAATCAATACAATTTAACACCAAGGATTATAATAACACGGAGTTGGTAAACAGACCGACATATACTTCATTTGGTGTGCTGGTTTGGGTGGTGGCTGTGGGTACACCTCTCCTTCGTATTCACCCTCATCAGAGGTCGCATCCACATCCTACAACAGGGACCGGTGAGGGGCAAAGAAGAATGAATAGAGAACAGAAGATTACAATATACAATATTTAAACACCTACGGTATACGAAGAGGTGGCAACATCGCAGACAATTTGGTAAAACTATGACTTGTGATAATAAAAACAACTATTTTACATACATGTGAGACAAAGTGCATTTTATGCAAAATTAACTACAATTAATGTAGCAGATTTTATGATTTATCTAAAATTCTAATCTCCATTTATAAAGAAATCAATCAGAATAATTTTCGCTTTAGCTAGTTATATATTTTTAAGGGTTTGTTCTTCTTGCCCTCCAAACACCTGTATCTTCTTCTACCCAACATATGAGGCTTGCCATCCCACATCCAGTATCAGTGAACAAAAATTGAAAATTGACTTTTAATTATATTCTTATTCTCCACATTATAAGCTTTAAAATGATGGCTGGGACATTTACGGGAATTGACTTACTGTTGCCAACATTATGAGTAAATTTATTATGGCTTTTCTGTACTAAAGTATATAATACAGCCACAATCTTATCAAAATTACTTAGTTTAACAATTAGCGACAGTACGCTGGTTTGGAATGGCAACCCTCATATCTTTTAACCACTCTACTACAACATCTCACACACATTCATTTTATATATTTCTCTCTGAACATAAAAATATACAATGAACAATACATTAAAACGGTAAAAGAAACAAAAAAACAAAAAAAATCATACTGTCCTTCTCGTTTCCAACACAAACCCTCTTACTCCCCATCTCACACTTTTCCAACAACGTTGCCTCTCCTCTTTTAGACAACCACCCCTGCAGTTTCAGGTAGATATGTTCTGCTTTAACACATATAGCCAACTACAAGTATACACTGCAAAGCACTACTGCAGACACCATTAGGATTATATTTCTAGTTAACATCATAACATTTTGTATTCTATAATTAATATACTAGCATAGTAAGACTGTCAGACAGGGGAAGTTCATTCTATAATACTACAGTAACTAACATTTATAACTTCTCTGTTCTTATACATATTCAGTAAGTATTTTTGCACATAATGTTTTACAATATAAAACTACCTTGCATGCTTTATTGGGATCGTATCAGTTATCCTGTATTGCGACCACTGTTCAGACATTTTGGGGGGTTTATTTATAAGGCTCCATGATTAATAAACAAATGCTACTATAGACTCTGAATACAAATGATTGAAAATCCCAATTCTAAGAACTGTTTTGTTTTTGTTTAGTTTATCAGAATTTATATTTGTCTGCTTATCCTGATGTTATATATATGTATATGTTTTACGTGTTTGAATAAACCAAACAATAATAAATAAAATTTCATACGCAATTTAGACATTATTTCACTCAATTAGAAATTGTGAAATCTAAGAAAAAGGACATTAAGTGTTTGAATGAATAAATAAAAACCAAACAATAATAGATAAAATTTCATATGCAATTTAGACATTATTTCACTCAATTAGAAATTGTGAAATCTAAGAAAAAGGGCTTTAAAGAACAATTATAACTTATATTCTGTTTTTTTTTTACAGAAGAGAAACATCCAACTACTGTATAAACCATTGTTTTTATTTCTCTCCATTTGATATCCATGTGAATGAATAGATATGAAATTATATTTTATACATATCTCCATAGTGATATGTCCATGCGAAGGGTATTAACAACAGCAAGACAGTAATTTATGCTCAACTTGCCTTCCATATGTGATATCCATGTGAAAGGTTGGCATTCAACAAATGTAAGACATTCTCTTTATTACTCAAATTGTCTTTCATGAGCAACATCCATGTGAATGAAATTTGTATAAAAATATTTAGCGTCATGCTGATTTTTTTCAATATGTGATATCCATATAAAGGGGTATAAAAAAACAACTGACAAGATTTTGTTTTTTACGCTCAGTTTTATATAAAAGGGTACTGAACTACAGCTAGAACACTAGGAGTTGAATAATGTTGTGCGGACATTCATAGCTCCCCAAGGCCCAAATAGTTGAGGTTAATTACTACAATAAACCAATGCTTTCTTATATGATAAATTCAATTTTGGCAAAAATGACTACTTGAAATTAGTTAAATTGTGCGATGCTTATTCAGAGGGATTAAAAAAATCTATGTACAAAAAAAATGTTGTAAAGAAATAAAAGAAAAAAAAACCAAAAAAAAAACCAGTGCCCTGTGTTTTGATGTGAGGTGAATATTGCAATAAAAAAACAAAGAATTCAAAGCATACACTAAAAATAGCAAGCCTGTAGCCACAAAATAAGACTACAGATTATGGCAAAAGCTGAAAAAAATACACTATAGGGATATCTGTTCTAAAAGGGGCATGTACAGGAAGAGAGTTGCAACCTCTTTAAAATCTTTTCTACATTCAAACATCAAAAGCTTTAAAGAAAAAAGAATCCCACATTTATAGGAGGGTAGATAGTGGGAGGAAGGTATGGAGAAATTTTAGTGGTATATTCTTAAGGAAATAATCTAAATTTAATTGCATGTTTGTGATTCATGCCAAATTATGCAGCAAAATACTGTTGCCAACTAAGTGCACATACCCTTCTGGGCAAACTCGGGTTGTTATTGTTTGCATTTGTACTCATCTCATGGTCACTCTCATCCGAATCGACAAAGTGAATCTAAGCGGCATGACAGGTGGGGCCGAGAGGGAATGAAAAAGAAAGATGGATAGACAGACAGATGTGTTTACAGACAATTTTTACTTCAAAAAGAAAAATTATTGTTTAAATTTTTCTTAATCTGTAATGCTCATAATCAAATTCAATTTTCAAATATAAGGAAACAAAAAATAAATAAATTTAGCGCTTGATTTTTTTAAGGTAGAAAAAAAAGATGGGTTTGCAAAGGAAAGAAGACAAGCAAATGAAAAACATGAAGAGTTATGAAAGACCATATAAGGTGACATTATGAACAATATGTAAATCCCGTAAAACATTGGATAAAAACATTTACATGTACGAAGGATCATCCTGTTTAATTCTATAATTTTTAATCACCATGTCAAATAAAAGAATTCAAAATATAATTTTAAAAGCATTCTGCATTATAAATGCTCAAGGATAAGGACTCGGGTATAAATAATGATAATAATTATAATATAAAAGTAATATCAATAACACATTTGATTTATTGCCTTACAAACTGATATTAAACATCTTTTATCAAATTATTTCTGATGAAGATGTTTTATTTTAAATATTCAAAGTTCAGAGCAAACCAACTTTATTGTGAAGATGAAGGAGGTTAACTTTGTAGGTCATGTTTAGGCCATCACATGGATGAAATACATCTTCAGCTTTGAATTACATCAGAGAGATGGGATTGTGAATAGGCTATTAAATCAGGGTTATTTATCACATGGACTATAAACTTGGGAATGACACCAAGGCATGATTGAAAAACAAAACCAAAACAATATACTAAATAAGCCTCTCTAATTTTTTTTATGTAAAAGGTATTCAAAATTAACATTTAAAAAGAAAAATGCTAAAAATTCAACCCAAAATATACATCTTGAAAACATTGTATATTTAAGTAATACTTCCATGAAACATTTATGTAAATATTTATGCAAATAGATGAACTGCGTTAATTTTGTAACTTATGCATGTATTCTAAATTAGTACCCAAATATTACTACCTTGTGGTCACCATTTTCTGAGTCTGCGTAGGCTATTTTTCCCACAGCAGGGCCACCAACTTGGTCCAAGTTGGCAGAATGTCGTTGAGGTGTTGATTCATCTGGACGGTCAAGCTCACGGGAACCTGAACGGCCGTAAGCTATGGTGTAATAAAAATATCAAAAATAATGATATTAATTAAATAATAATTATTTGCTAGCCATGTATGTAGAGCTTGATATGAAACATCTCAAAATACTTCACACATTGTGTGATAAGTACCATAATGCCTGACTCTGCCTCCGCCGTCTCTGTAAACACTAATCACTTAATAATTAAAATTCCATACAAATCACAAAAAAAAAAAAGCTTATCAAAAGATCATACCGATTTCAGTCCTAGAATGTAGAAAATAATCAAAAGGCCAATACATACCAGAAGCAGTTATCACCAACACCATTACTACCACCACTATCATAATAACTACCATCAGCGAAACCTGGTGATTCCTGGATTATCACCCTCATAATTATTAGCACCACCATCGTAAAAAGTAGCACCACCATCATAACCACTACCAACATGATCATAAATACTACCACCATTATTGTATTATTCACCAACACCATCTTTACCAGTACCACCACAATCATAATCACTACCACCACCATCATAATCACTGCCACTAACATTATAGTCACTTCTTGTGCCACCATCATCATTACCATACTTGGAACTGCATATGCCATACTGAAATTATCACCATTATTATTAGACTACCACCACCAACACCATCCTTCACCAAAGTCACTATAACAAACACTGTAACTGTCACCATCTTCAATTCATTTTGATCATATAGTTGACCTTCAGAATCATCACTATCAAAATTATCATCAGATGTGAATGCAAATTCCATTAGCATCAGAGCAGCCAATTTAATAGTTGACCAATTAAAAGTGTACTATCCATAACATAATTTATCTTATATGTACAGGTCAATACGAGCAACTCACCACCATCCATGCTTCTTGTTAGTCGCTTGCTATTGAGGCGTTCAAAGTCCGGATTTTGTCTATCAATAGAATTGCTGGCCTGGCGAGTTTGGAATTGTGTCTTACCACTGTAGCGGAACTTGGAGCCTAGGTTGAACACAGTTTTCTTTGGTGGGGCCTCAGGGGAAACTAGTCTACAAAAAAAGTATAACATTGAAATTGATTATTTGGAAAAATAAAATACAGTTTGATTCAAGTTAAAAATTTTAAAATATACACTTTTACAACTAATGTTTGATGAAACTTTCTATAACGTTAAAAAAAAAAAAATTGATCAGTATTTCTGAAACAAGCACACACACAATGACAAGACAAAGTCTGATGGAACATGACTTCAAGTTAAGACAGAATAAAATGATAAGTGTAGTTTAAATCAAAATATTGGGTGGGGAGAAATAATAAAGTAAACAAAAATTAAATTTAATACCTACATCAGAAAGAAAATTTACTTCCATTTTGGAAACAGTTCAATTAATAAAATGCATAAACAAAATGTGGTGCATAAATTACCCAAACAGCTGCTCTTTTCTGACTTACCTAAAAAATGTATGGTGTTCTACGCACACCTTCCAGAGACGCTTAGCAGCACGATGATTGGCCAATTTAAACCCAATTGTACTTTCAAACAATTCAAACTGTGAATTAGAAAATAAAGAATAAAGTATTTAGTTGAAAAGAAGGCAATTGCACATATTGTTGAGACCTTTATATTATTTATATAAGGGTGCAAAAAAACAAAAAAAAACAAAAAAAAACAAAACAACCACTATAGCAAAAGTTGCTATTTTTCATCAAATGCTGAATGTTGAAAATGTAAATTTGGTAGTTATACAGTTCAAATTGATTTTTCCGGTCAAATTATTCACATATTACTTTTCCACAAAAGCCTGCTTACCAAGAACACAGGTGAGCAAAGTGCGGACCGCAGGCCGCATGCGGCCCGACAGTGATTTTTTTTTGCGGCCCGCGTAAATGAATTAAAAACCCTACGTGTGCGGCGTAACATAAAACTGAGAATAAAGTGGTGTAAAAGTAGTGCTTGGAGGTTTTTGGAAGCACACTAGAAACATCAAAGTTTGGCTGCAGCCCTGTGTTATATCAAAAATTAACTTTGGCCCTCCGACTGATTGTTATGCCCACCACTGTCCAAGATGAATAAAGGAAAATACAGATAATTAAGGGAAATAAAAGGCAAGTGCAAGATTTATTAGAAAAAAATAACCAGTTCATAATACAAACCTCGCCGGGCCTGATCTTGATGTAGAAATTATTCCGCTTGTAGGAAATTTTAAGGATTTTAGGCCATGCAAAACGATTAATTCGGAGACGATCACGGTAAATAAGCAGACCACCAGCGCACACCCCTAGCATGATGTCGACACCTTCCGAGTCTCTAGCATGGTGGAGGTCTACGCCATACATTGCTAACTTCTTGGCATTCTCTAGGTAATGAAGCTCTGCCTCTGCTGGAGTCTGACCCTTATGAGTCTTGTGGAGTTCATGGATCTTCTGTTCCAGATCATGGGATTGGTTTGGAGTGAAGCGGCCGAAATCTTCCAAGTAAGAGCAGTCAGGACCGTGTTCATCAGGGTCATAGTCTCCTAATTCAGACTGTACAATGTAGGAACCTAGAAGGGCGTGGGTTACGAATGAACAGGGCAGCTTTCCTTTTAGAATGTCTTCCCGTATTTGTAAGACTAACTGGTATCTGTAAATGAATACACTTCTTATTAATAAGTTTGAATTTTGAATGAAATAAATTGTTAATATGCCTATTCTGACATTCAGTATTAACAACAAAACATACTGTGTTTATTTGGCTCTGATATGTGCAAGCGTAACAAATACTGCTAGTTTGTAGGATATTCATATTAACATTTTCATTTTTCCTTGGGCCATAAATGTAAATTGAGCTTTGGGGACTCACTGAGAGTATTGTCTCTTCCTAATATTTTGATGGCCTCTCTCATCTAAAATGTATTCTATCTTGATGTACAAGAGGAGGACATATATCTGGTGTGTCACAAATGCAGGTGGATATAAACCGATAGAAAAAACAGACAATTTGGAATATTTGTTTAAATCAAAGGTTTTAAATTTAAATTTTAAAATAAACTTTTCATTTCTTTTAAAATCATACTACGGCAGGATGGTAAATTATTATGTTACATTACAGATTTAGAAGAGAACAATTTATTTAATTATGGTACAGTAGTATGAAAAACAACAGTTAAATGCAAGTTTCAGTGTTAATAAATTATTTTTTATGCATCATCATTTACATACAAGGGTCAAATGTTTGAATGAACAATATTTTTTTACAGTTTAATTTTCAATTGAAAAGAAGCTAACATACAGTAAAAAGCACAATAAATGCTAGACATTATTTTCAGCTCAACACTAATATATTTTTAATTGATATAAAAGCAATACAATCATTAAATATTAACAATATACTTTTCAAAACCAAATGCAACGGTGTATAGAAGCTACTGGACTTTAGGTTGAAGCATGTCTAGTCTACACTCTATTACCAATGCTTGACGCCAGTGCTCATTAGTATTCTGCTACCCAGTACCGTGTCAGATGAGATTAGGCATAAAGGCCTTGTGTATTTACAAGTATTACTCTGTATTAAATTAAACGAATTAAATTACGGTAATGCAGGTTTTCGGTGGTTAATCTTTTGTACTGGGTTTGTAGATCAATGTTCATATTAGCAATTAATCAGAAGAAAAAGAAACCAATTAAATTTCAATGAAGAAGTCAATGTAGAGCAAAAGGGGAAAAAAATTTTTTAACAAGAGCTAGTTTCATCAATTTCTTTTTTTCACAACTTTTTGTATCTTCAAAAATGGTCATGGAATTCAGTTGTGTGAGAAAATGTCATGTACAGTAGTCTCCAAATGAATATTTTAGCTACTAAAATACTTATTACAGTACCGTGTAATATCTTCAGAGAGCTGGATTGGGTCTGGCGGGTAAAACTTGACATTCAAAGCAAATAGCCATGGTCCACCTATAAATATATATAAAAAAAACACCACAACTTATTTTACTTCATCATTATATATTAACAGTGATATAAAGCCGCTTCTGAAACAAAAACTGTTATTATTTCTTTATATTATTACCAGCAGGAAATTATGTAATCATAATTACTCTATTTCAGCTCACAATAATTAAAATAATAGGTTCCCAGCAGGAATGTGTGTCTATGCCCAATACTGCCTTATGTTTACTAATAAAGTATCCACATGAGATTTGATTATCAAGAAAATTTGTGGTGTTTATTATGACTTTTGTACAATAATAAGGTACTTAAGACGACACATGACCCATCATGCAACTCCACTGGATTTATCCTTTCCGCCATCTTTAATAGCCAGATCATAACAGTGTCTTTCCCCACAAGGGGGCACAGACAAAAAAAAAAAACTGGTCGAGTATCATTATAGCATTGCACTCTGCTAGGTTCATTTTGCTAGCCTTAGTCCATATTTGCTGTCTTTTATAACTGCTATTTATAAATTATGTATGTATCCAGAACTGATATGAAAGTTAATTTTTAGTATCACATTTTTCATTACTTTTGTCATTTCTATACATCCCACATCCCTTTTAATTTGTTTAGAATTATCTAAGCAACTCATTGACACTCCAATTGGATATTAGAAATTCAAGCAGGCTTTACTGAAGCTGTTGGATTGGTGGCAAGGATACTTCCCATTTAATCTTAGGATTCTGGGTTCAATCCTGAGACACCAACTTTTTTTTTCATGACTTTTAAACAAATCTACTAACCGAGCCTCAAAAAGCTAATTAGTTTATAAAAGTATCTCTGCAGACAAGTAAGTATACTTACTATGTGAATGACACAAATAATTTAAACAATTTACTTTAAACATTTAATGAATTTATTAGGGTAGAAAATATGAGTTTTTTTCTTTTTTGTTATATTGTTCCAAATACTTTTTTTAAACTTTGACCTGAAAGCTACTATAAGCTTCAAAAGATGGGTCATTTGTGAAACATGTGCTAAGATAAATCTTTAATGTTTATGAGACTTAAACTGTAAACATAAAGCTTATGCATAGGTCAGTTTCTGTGGGAAGAATTCCAATGACCTGAAAAGCTGCTTTAGGCAGGGATCTTTATTTAAGTACTTTTATACAATCATAATCAAACCATTTTATTTTTGTTCATACCGTAAAATAATTCGCCACTATAGCAGGTTACACAAACAAGAACTTTCAGATATAATCTCTGCTTGCATACAAACCTACAATTATTACTTTTAATTAATTTATTATTTTTATTTAATACTATTTAAATCATTATTACTTAATAACAGCAGCACACACTACAACAGTACAACACAGTACTAGAAGTAACTGTGCAACTTAAACAAACGTATCATTAGTTGAAATATGTCATTACGTGTGCGTAGATAATGTAAGTATTTATTATAATTTCATGCAGTTTCAGCCTATATTGATGAGTGAACTTAGTTTTAATGTGAAAAAAATCAAATAAAGAAGAATCAAAGACAATGGAAAAAATGATAACAATGACAATGATGATGGTTGGAAATTTTATGATTACTTGTGATACATTCTGAGAAATCTAGAATTCTGCTCTGTATACTGAACTTCAGGAACTTGAGTTGGCACTGCTTTCAGATGTTGGTAGTATTATGTACATTTTGGTTTCATACTTAACTATTTTTGTTTTTAAGAAATGATAAAAAAAAATGATGACAATGAAGACCAATTTGTCATCGTCACTTTGATCCTAATAGTAAGTATTGTACCATATAATATTTTGCCTTAGCCCTGCTCTACAGTAAGAAAATGTTCAAGCAACAATATTGGTTTCACTGGTGTAACAGCACATCAAAGAGCTTATATTGCAGATAACTCTAGCCACATAAGTAACATCTCATTAAAAACCAACAAGGAATGTAGTTGCTCATACCTGTTTAGGAGATATGCAATTAAATAAAAATGGTATTGGGGGTGGTATTGGGCCTAGGCCTCTCCGCTCTTTTGGGGCCTACCGTTGTCCTCGTTTGGTCGCTCGTTCATAATTGTGCCGATGAGCACAGCCGAAAACATTTGCCTTCTCGCCCCATATTGTATCTTACTCCTCGTCATCATGACACGAATGAGAAAGATACTATCCTATACAGTTAGGAAAACAACGTGTTGTATAAACTAAATGGTGACGTAATTTCTGTCACGAAAACCGATTTTCGAAAAATCAAAAATGCAGTTGCAATGCCAGCAGGCTGTCTGGTACTCATTAAAAAAACCGTTTTAAAAATCGATTATTTTGTGTTTATCAGTAGAAACACACCCTTTGAAACTACTTTTAAATTTGAGTGTTTACAATTGTTTGAGATAAGCTGGCAGTGGCCCTCAGGTGCTTTTAATGCAACTACAGCATAGGCCTACGACGTGCGATTGGGCTCCTTATTCAGATATATTTTTCAAAGTCACTATTATGTTACCAACATTATTATTTATATTAGGAGTACAATTACTACTATTATTATTCTCATTAAATGTAATGTAGTCATATTATAATGTGGTCCTTACAGTAAGTCAACATTTTGAGGCTTCCTGGTTAGAATCCTAATGAATTGATAGAAGGTTCACATAACTGGAAATCTCAAATCAATATATTGACAATTGTCTAGTTTTCAAAGCGTTTCTACCGCAGATTCAGTGTTTGATGTAGGCTCTGCTAATAAGAGAGCTGCCTATACCTTAAGGCTATACCTTTACAAAACACTATCTACTTTAGCACTCAGGAGATTAAAGGTGCAGTCCCACTTGTTAATGTGGTATGCTGTGATTCAATTCAACAATCTGTACTGTAGTCAGCAGGTGCAAATTTAATACAAACAATTCCTTCCACACTGAATTCAATGTTTCCAATGTGTTGGTAGTTTGTACAACTGGTTTAAATAATTTCTCTCCATATAGGCCTATGCACTATTTGTCTGTAATATTTTTTTTTTAATCAAAATTTTTTTATTAAGACACAGATCAAAACAAGTACTGTACTGTACGTTAACCTTTTACCATTCAATAGCAATATGAGGACATGTGGTACTTTATCGCAGAACTCACAGAATATCGCAGTCGCTCACAGAACTAGGCTACTGATTGTGCCAGTCAAGGTGAATAGGCCCAGTTTCCTTTTCAACCCAGAGAAAAAAATGGTTCTAAAGTATCACATATGGGCCCTAAATTCCCCAGTCAAGGCATCAATTGGACCGCAACCAGCTCCTCAGCCTCTGTCAGAAAATATTACACCTTTCTCCGAGGGAACAGATAGCGTAGGTCACTTCAGAGCCACTACTGCTACCACATCCAAATGGAAAATTCAAAGTACATTACAGTATTTATCATATAGTATTTGTATCATGCTTAAAGAAAAAAACTATGGAAAAACGTAAGAATTTTTGACATTTGTATGTAAACCTGCCCACTGAATTGTTTCAATCTATGACTCATTGGAAATTGAAACATTTGATACATCAAAATGATATTGATAAATTTAATTAACTGAATGTTGTGCTATTTTCCAGATTTTAACAAACACAGCTTATCTTTTAAGTCTGAATAATATCTTCATTCAACAGGAAATCTGACATCATCAGCTAAGTGCAATTTTGTACATATGGAGGCTGTTGTATTCCCATATGCCAGATTTCTATGGCTGCACTTAAAGACAGATGAAATATGATTATAATAAACATTAAAACCAGCAGACATGAAGAAATAAAATATAGAATCTTTCGTCTTAAATAGTCAAATCAAGTGTCTAGAAAGTTAATGTGTATTTTTGAATAAATTAAGTCAATGCAAGGAAATGTCGTTGGTGTTATTCTGAAACTGGGAAGTACTTTGGGAAGAAAATTTCAATTAAGGTAGCAAGTTTGGAATTTTTTAGGGCGGCAAAATTGTTTTCAGGGTAATAGCAATATACATTCATTGAGAGACAACGAGATATCATTGGATGGGACACTAAAAAGACATAGCGAGTGGGAAGCAGAATTCTTTGGGTGGGTATGTAGATTTGTTGGTCTTTAGAATCTGGTTCCATGTCAAAGTTAATATTTTGTTGTATTCTGCTAATAAACAAAATCTCAGTACCATACCCTCCAATGTACAATGGTTATTCTTTGCCCTTCAGATGCTCCAATCAATTTGTTTGATGGATAAACTAGACCATATAAAATTAACAATTTAAATATATGAGAATATGCATATAAAAATTCACTGTATTAATGACAATATCTTACTACATTGCACCCTCCAATTCGAGACCCCTCTAATTTGAAACTACTTTTCTAAAGACCCAAATAACTATCTTCAACCTTTTAACGCAAAGCTAGCCCTCTAATTGGAGACTACCCTGAGACCACCCCAAATTTTCAGGTCTTAAAGGTGGTCTCGAATTGGAGGGCGAACTGTAATTAGTTACTGTACTTTTGATCTGTTTTGACTTAATTGTTGAGGTCCAAAGTATTTGTTAGTAGTTTGCTACAGGTTTAAAGTTCCCTTTGGGATGCGGTTTTTTTTGTTTTTTTGCAACATTTAATTTAATGTTATTAATGATGGTGGAAATAATAAGTAAGTTGATAAAAGTATAATATCAAAAATACATTTTAAAATATGCTAGTTTACTGCATGTACTGTAATTGTTGTGTTTTAAGAAAATAATCACCACTACCAATAAAAGAAAAAAACTAATGCACCTCTAATACAGATTAAAGACAATTTATTAAATCCTGAAAAACATTGACTATCAGTATTTCATTTAAAAAGGAAAATAAAGGTGTTGTTAACTTTGAATGAATACACAAAATAAGCTTTTGCTAATTTGCAAACTAAAATCATTTAGTAGTAGCAGGCAATGTTTTAAGGGTTAATTTGTAAAGATATTTTATTCATTCTGATTTCAATTTGAAAGCTAATAAATTATTTAAGTATACATAGTAAGCTA